GGCACTTCAAAATCGCTTTGCAATATGTTTGTATTTTTTATTTTACAGAGTGCTTAATATACAGAATTGCCATAACGGGAGTAGAGAAAGATACGACGCTGCCGATTTCAAACAAGGGCAAGAAAGGTTTCGAAAAATGTAGCAAGTCTGTGAAGAGAAAGCACTGTGGCAGGAGTTCGTGAAAAATAAGAATTCATACAAAAGATCAGGCACGTAGCCAGGGGGGGGGGGGGGGGGGGGGGGGGCGCCGCAATAAAATCCTGTCTACGTGCCTGCAAAAAAACTACAGGTGAGTTTTAAGCACAACTCAACAATTTAAATACAGATTCCATCGGATCAGTGAATTTCGGAGCCTACCCTTCTTAGGGAGGCTGGGCTGCTAAGCGACAAGTTTTAAATATTATTAAGAACACATGTTTAAAGTGGTACAATTGAAACGAGTTTAATGGATCAAGATCCTGTGCGCACATTTGGCGCTTGTCGCGTGCATCCTTTCTGCCGGACGCTGACCTGTGTCGGTCATGGCGCTCTCCTGGCACTCCGAGGAGGAACAATCTTTTCCCGTATTTTTGTAGCGATCACTCTTCATTTCTTCTAAGTGGCACCGCAAGCTCGCGACCTCGATCTGCTTTTCGCAGCCATAGGAGACTTTACTTTGAAATATATATCTTTTCTGCGTCTACTGTTCTTGCTAAAACAGCTGTGGTTGCGAAGCGTCGGACCGCGTACACTGCTATAAATGAGAGGACTGAATTCCACGCACAACAGAAACAGAGTACCACCCATTTGCTTTCATGTTCCTGAACGCTTTGACGTAGGCTTTCGATAGGTGGATTAGTTTCACGTTCGGCAGTTTAGTGGTCAGTGGGGCAACCATCTCTGACGCCGACCTGATCACCGACTTGGTGGGCCGTCGGAAATTGTGCAACGTTCCCTGGTGCTTGACACGACCCCCGATTCTATCGCAGGCATTCTTGCAATGTCTAGTTGCGGAAAAAAATACACTTCGCTGACGTGTACTTGTTCCTCTGCAGCTCGTGTAGTTGGTACGTGTTCTTAAAGTGGCTTGCTGACGTAGGTCACATGAGCATACACAAATTCGATTTCACGATTCTTCAATTGCTGTAATATAAATTAAGTTACAAACAACCTGATCCAATCGCAATTTTTTAAAGTATTTTTTTCCCCTTTTTTTTAAGCGTTGTGCGGTTTTTTTAGGGCGGCGGATCCTTTGGCGCTCACAGACGGCGCAGGTTCAGGTTCTGCCGCGCCCTACTTCATATATTAAGTTACCGCCAAAATTGTGGGCTCATCTGTTTGCAAAGTCGCTCCGGTTGATGCATTTACGTTGCGTAAAAGGAGACACTATACGCCGGCTGTTGAAACAGGTAGCGCGAAGCATGTTACAGGGTGACACACCTCGATCACTCCGGCCCATGGGCGTTTTGGGTCTACCGTCTACCTCTGTGCTGTCCATTTGACTTTTCCTTACCACCCCGTAGCATTTTTACGCTTTTTAATAATAAGGGAATTGTTAAGAACGGCTATGTGCACGCCCCATTTATGGCAGTTCGAAGATATGCGCCCAAAAAGAAGGACAAGAAGAGACGTAAACAATGGCGCACTCGCAACTAATATTTATTGAAAAAAACGAATCCCTTATATGGCCGTGAAAATAAGTGAAAGCCGTTTACAACTCCCTGTAACGCCGAATTAGAGCACAGCTCTTGAGGAGGAGGGGGGAAGGGTACTGTGGGGGTGGGTCAAGTGACCTCGGGTGGCGGGGGGGGTCACGTGACCTTGGGGTGTCACGTGACCTGGATGGTCAAGTGACGATGACGTCATAAGTGACGATGCGGATACCGATGACGTCATCAGTGACGTCATTGATGACGTCATCAGTGATGATGACGATGACGATGTGCATGCCGGTGACGTCATCAGTGACGATGACGATGCGGATGCCGGTGACGTCATCAGTGACGTCATTCATGACGTCATCAGTGGCGATGACAATGACGATGCGGAGGCCGGTGACTTCGTCAGTGACGTCACTGATGACGTCATTAGTGTCGATGACGTCAACGGGGGGTCACGTGACCTCGGGGAGGCGGTCACGTGACCTCAGGAAGTGACGTGGCCTCGGGGAGGGGTCACGTAACCCTCCAGGTCACGTGACCTCGGGGGCGGTCACGTGAGCTCAGGAGGTCACGTGGCCTCGGCGAGGGGTCACGTGACCCTCGTGAGGGTAACTCTCGTGAGCCTCGTGAGGGTAACACTCATAACCCTCGTGAGAGTAACTCTCATAACCCTCGTGAGAGTAACTCTCATAACCCTCGTGGCCCTCGTGAGGGTAACCCTTTTGAGGGTAACTAACCCTCGTAACCCTCGTGATGGTTGCGAGGGTTAGGAAGCCTCGTAGCCCTCGTGAGGGTAACCCTCGTGAGAGTAACCCTCGTATCCTTCGTAACCCTCACGAGGGTTACGAGGGTTAGTGGCGGTTACGCCGACGGCGACGGCGACGCCGACGCCGCTGAAGCCGGGAACGGGCGCTTAAGAGCTGCGCTCTAAAACCCGTTTCTAGAAAACCAAATTATTTTGTCGATAAGGTTATTGACGTGTCACTTGCGTACATCTTGCCCTTTGCTTTGATTTCAAAAGCCTCCTGGAGCTCCCTGGATATCTTATCTGGGTATCAGGCCTTATCGACAAAAGAATTTGATTTTTTTAAAAACGGGTGCCTATACTTTGCCTCATCCTACGATGCACTAAAAACCAAAGCCACGGGCCGCCAGGTCGAATCACGTTCCGGGCTATACTATGACACGCTTAACATTGAATAGGGGTGGACGAATAATGCTCGAATCCAAAAGCGCTCCACCATTTCTATAGCTTCGACGCTGCAAAGAGCCTATATATGTCGTGGCTTTCTTTGCGATGTAATACTGTTGAGTCACTCAGTGCTCTTCGATTCGAACCACTGTCCACCCGTTTCCTTATAAGCAATCCTAGACGCTGGCACCGATACGTGCAACGAAGCGAAATACCGCAGAATTTCTGAGTGGCTCGTGATTGGATCTGGCGGTCCGTCACTTTTGCCTGTAGTCCATCGTAGGGTGAGACGAGGTATAGTCGTGACGAAGTTTTTTTGTTTTTTTTTTTACGACTATATACGGGATTCGTTTTTTTCAATAAATGTTAGTTGCGAGTGCGCCAGTGTTTACTTCTCTCCTTGTCCTGGTTTTTTCGGCGCCTATCTTCGATTATGAACCAACTGGCCTAAACTTCCATCTCAATGTTACATATGGCAACTGCATTAGCGTCGATTTTGCCATATTACTCGCTTTATAACTTAAAAGCAAAAAAAAATATTGCATTATGTTTTTACAGACTCAGTAAGTACATATTATAAAAGTTAATTTCAGAGAGTTTAAAGAATATTAAAGCTGTCCTTTTTTAAGATGATTTTCAAATATAATTCATATTTTGTTTACTGCCCGTGTCAGCAATTCTTGTAAATTTTTCCCGCTAACCATGACAATAATATTCCTTGCAAAAATGCGCTATATACAGGGCAACGCACTGGCAAAGTTTAAAAACCTTAGCTTTTATAGACACGAAGAAAAATATTTTTAATCCAGAGCGTTATTGCGCTATCTGCCGTGTTAGCGATTTTGTTTCTCAAAATAACAATCCTATAACTTGGTGGTTAATATGTTTTGTAAATCCTTCCTGTGCTTAATTTGTCAGTACATATTTCTAGACCCGTATACCCAGAACAGTTTTTTTGGGGGAAGCCACCCGAATGGTCAACATCGCGCGATACGCAAAACGCGCACGTGAGTGAGATGGTGCATACAAATTTTTTTCGCAAAGAAATTTTTTTTTCCGGAAACAAGGAGTGGTTTTATTTTTTTGGCACTGAGCCAGCAAAATATATATTTTTTCATCAAAATTAAAAATAGTCACCGGACATGATTGTTCGATCTTATCTGAAAACTCCGTTCCAAGAACAGTTGCCGATTGCTCGCCGGATGACAAATCGGCAAAATCCCTTTTTATACCGCGAGTCGTGTCGAGCCTACATCTCAGACCCGCACACAAAAGCGCTAAGTGTTGGCCCTATATGTACTTTGTATTTAAAAGGAAGGTAGACAGACACAAAATCATATTTGTCCATTCGGCCGTCTGTCCATCCTTCAATAGGCTTTCCGCCACGTTCCTTCATGTGGCTGTTTTAGTTATGTTTCACTTGCTGTGATGTTTATTTATACAAAAATTCAAAGAACTGATTCGCCTTCACTGTTGAAGGAAACCAACAAAGTATAGAGCACTTTAGAAGAAGAGCCCATTTAATTTTTTGTCACTCTCTTCATGAAAAAAAAGAATTGTCATTGTATTCAGGTTATTTTTTAAATCCGTTTTCCACAAGACCTGCTAGGCACCATCATCAGCATTCCTTAGCACAATTTTCGGCAGGCACTTATCTGTTAAAATTTTTGTATTTCCCTAGCATGATTCAGGATGGGAATTCTCTTCCATGTCCTGTAGTTTCATCTTCGGGCTTTCAAACATCATTAGATCAATAATTCTAGATTTTTATGAGGTGTCTTTTTAGATTCACTTCTGTATTTTGGAGTGCTTCGGTGTTGATAAATTTGGTGCTCGTAAACTTCGGTGTTGAGGTTTTTGTGCTGCTTGCAGTTTTATATTGTATCGCCTCTCTTGGGGTTATCTGTTGACTTGCTTTTCTTTCTTCTTACTTTGTGTCGCTTTTTTACGAGTTTTTTACGTTTGTACTTTGCTCCCCCTGCATGACCCAATTGTGGTCTGTAGTATCAAATAAAGATAAGTAAATAATTAAACCAATTTTCTGCGTACCGAGGTTGACTAAAAATGGTACACAGCCCTAGATATCCTGATTTGGCGCCACCCCAACTGTGCCCGGCACTATATTCTCAGTGCCAGCATCAGATCTCGTATTTGTTGAATTCACTTACGCGTGAGCCAGTTCGTGTGCAGTGACGCCAACCGTGGAAAATGTGTAGGCGTGGTCCTCAGCAAGAGCAGCTCGTAAACTTGCACTGCAGACGGCACCAAGGTACGCAATTCCTAAAAAAACAAATGGAGAATCTATTTAGAGCACCATCATTTAAAAGATAGAAAGTTCCTTCATCCTAAATAGGGCGGCGCCATTTTTGTTCATTAGACAATCATCTGCGCTAAGAAAATATAATTAAACAGGACGATTTATTGACAAGCGTTGACAGCGACACGGATTGATGATGCACTATTTATCGTAGCTTTTCCAACTGGTGGTCGACTTAATTTTCAGTCCGGTATTGGCGGATGCCATAACCGACAGCGCTTCCAAGCGGTCTTCGCACACACTTACGATTAGTACTCTGCTTAGAACGCGTCTCTGAACTGTTGTATTTACCGAGTCCAAAATCTTCTACTCAGATTTTCTCCTCCAGTTCACGTCATACAAATGTCTTGCTCTCGTCGACCGCAAACCGGGCGCTGTCACAGCATCGGCGCAAGACGTGGAAAACGCTTGCTCTGCTTCGTTTTCCAATTCACTGATGCTTCCGTAGGCAAGAAAAGGGACGTCGCGACAGCGAGATCGCTTTCCGTTGTGCATATTTTCAGGACATCGAGGCTTAACCGCCTGGATTGCGACATCCAAAGCATGACACTCCGACTGTCGTGAGGTCATTTATGCCACTTAGGGGCCACTTTGAATGCATGAGCGGAGTAGGACGATATACACATCTGTCAAACACGCGTTCCTGCACCGCAGTATGTTAGTTTTAAGACTAGATGAAACATTTCCACTTGTCTGCAGCCGAGAGCGTTACGAACACTCGTGAATGCTTATGACTAGGGAACGCCCTGGCACCATTTTCGAATTGCTCGGGAAAAATTCTGATATGCGTGTATTTCCGAATATTTAAGCGCCATTTTTTTACCATCCGCTCGAAATAATTTTGACAATGTTACCCGCGATCATTTTTAACAGGAACCGCGAAGATATCATATCGGAAATGCGTGAAACGCCTCGAGCCTACTTCAGGACTCAAACCGTTTGAGCGCTATATGCAAGCTCTAGCATGCGTTATCCGTTATATGGTATCAGTCGATTTCGGGAAGTTTGTCGGTCTTCATTTCTGCAGGAATAGATCTGGACTTTGAAATTTAAAAGTTTGAGCAATTTATGTGCCTGTGGTGACTTTTTCCGGTTTCCTTTATAGCGTGAGAAACATTTGGGGTAAACAATATATTATCGTTCCCAGCTTAAGAAAATAATGTGCAACATATTCACACGGATGCAAGATTTGCGATCTTCTGACAAAGCTGTCTTGGAAAAATAACGGCCTATAAGAAAACCTATAAAAAAGATGCGTGGAAATTGCTTTTTTTGTTGTGGTAGGCAAAATACTGTAGATTTGAGGTGCCCCGTCAGCGTGACCAGAGGTAAACATGAAAAGCTTTTCGCCGAGGTAACTGTGTTATGTCATAAATATTACGCGCATAATGTTCTTATAACCATATTGTACATAAAAAAAAGAATATTATAGCGATAACGAACCATGCAGCATACGTTGGTGCTGAATTGTTTTCCACTGCGTTGTGATAGGCAACTTAATATATTGTCCTCGCATCTTAACATACAGAGTGTTACGCAGCTTGCAAAAAGTCATCATTTAAAAATTGTTCCCTTTTATATTCTCTCGCGTCTACAAGCCTGTTATCATAACAGCTGATATGGTGGGATGGGTTTACGACGGCACCAATTTTTCCGGGTACGTATAGTGTACAACATATAAGCAGACAAGTAAAGTGCACAAGAGTAATGGTGTCATGCTCGAACTACCCGTGTCCCGAAGCTTATGCTACAGTGGCTTAAAGGGGCTAGTGTAGTTACCGCGTAGCCTTCACCATGCATCGGGAACGGCCGCTCCTTGGAAGACGGTGTAGTGGCGCTTCGATTCGCAGCTCCGTTAGGGGGAATACATCGGCCGGCAGATAGAGGCACCTTAACACGCTTCATAACTAATATAAATACCTTAAAAACAATTATTTGTTTCCAGAGAACTGTGAAGGACATGGTTTGTGCTCGTAGGTGAAAAAATGTGAAACTAGCAGACGACAGTGTAGTCGACAGCTCGGAATCGGCCGGAGTTGGCCGGAGCCATAGCAGGAACGACGGTGCTGCAAGCGCCAGCGCAACCCGCGGCCGTCTTCCAACGCTCTGCCGCCTCTCCGGTTTCGTTTTAGCCACTGTACTTATAGCGCGAGTCATTGTTTCAAAATGCGACTTCGGGGAACCGGAACGCGAGGACGGGCTCATCTTTCAAGGGGCAACATGGTGACCGCGCAAGGAACGCCCGATAACGAAGCAGTCGAGCTCGCGTCCCGAAGTTGGTATTCGGAGGGCAAACAAACGCACAGGGAGCGCAAAGAGAAGACAAACTTCACCGCCGTACACGTTGCACTAACAATATGCCTATTCTCTCACTTATGTGTCTTCGGAAAGCCTGGGCATCGCTAAGTCATTTCCTTCTTTTAAATCCATGCTGCTGAAATGTTTTATTTTTCTAGTTTTTATTTGAATTTTTCCCCCAAAAAAATAAATCTTCAAAGGAAGTGTCAGTGCAGGTCAATATGTTAGTGTCGTGCGAGAACCTGGCGTTAATTTTTGGCTAAGAAAACGAAAGCGATGAAAGATGTTTTATACTAACCCAAGACTGCATTTTCTACTACGTCCCCTTCTTTATCTGCCAAATCAAGTCTGTAGGAAAAATATAAAAAAAACACAATAAAGATTATATGAAACAAAACACAATAAACAATTAGTACTATCATCGTCGTCAACATCATCATTATATCTTTCTCTCTGTCCACATGAGCAGTTGGTTTTAGTGTGGAACATCGTAATAAGATATTTAACATGCTGAAACAAATAAAGTAGAGATATATACATTCTATTATAGCCTCCAAGAGATAAGTTAAGCATGTTCACGCTGCCTGATTCGCGAATGGTTCTTATCGGCTAATTCCGACGTCGCATTCTCTACGGAGCGATACTAATCTGCCGAATACTCGCCGCACCGGGCATTTTTATAAGTTTACAGTCTCAAATATTGGGGGTGTAGTGCTTACACCCATTGTCTTATATGTATAACACCCAAATATTATATTCAGAATTTCATACCACTGACCTTGAACTGAGGAAACAAACTTTTATGAGCGTCTTGAAGGTTGTGTGATATAACTTCCTAAATAGCTAATGTACGTTTCAATGACTACAGAAAAAAACACAGTTAGGTTGTGAGTAAAACCGACAAAACCTTGAGTTTTTTTTTTCAATAGTCTTTAATGCGTACATTAGCGATTTTAATAAGTTGTATCACAGGACAATCAAGCCGCACGTGTAAGTTTCTATCGTCGTTTCGACGTCAGTGGTCTGAGCTCCGAACTGTAGTTTTTGGGGAGTTATATGTGGAGAAGGGGTATAAGTACTACACCCCGTAATTCTGGGGAGTATGCAGTGAGAAATAAAGTCGTTTTATGGTCTTTTGGCACCGGGACCACGTTGCTAGCCGTGGGGGCTACTACAAAAGAGGCGACAAGGTCTACTTGGTAATTACCCCAAACGCTCTAGCTAGTATTTTTATATTCATTTCTGGGAGCATAATGCAAAGGAGAATTAACGCTCGAGCCCATATAGTGTAAGCATGCCGAAGGGTCTTTATTAAAAAAATGTTTAATGGGTGCTATGGTGGAAGTAATGTCACCCATTTAGATAACTTGAAACTGATCGCACAAACAGTGACAATGACGTCAACCCCTCCGCCATCCGCCAACTTTCCAAGCGAATCCGGCGGCGACACCGTCGTTATTCGCACGAAAAGTCTAGGTTTCGAGAAGTGTGCAATGGCGGCGTCCAACTACTGACGTTTGCTCATTCCGTAGACCGTCAATTAAAAAAGCGAGCTGCGGCAGAACTGGCGTCTGCCATTTCTACTTCCGCTACTCCGGTACCATCAAAATTGGCTAGGACACAGCACATGGAAGTAGGAGGCATCTTTTACCCTACTTTGAACGTACTTTGACAACTGAATGTTGGCGATAAAAAGCTTACATTTGTAACGCGCCACCAAAGCAGAAAAGCTCGAGTGATTTTGACATTGCCGTGCCATGTTCGCGCGTGCCGTACAAGGAAGGTGACAGTTGTGGAAAACTGTAGGCAGAAATCAGAGGATGGTGAGTCGTGTGACAAATGTTCTCACCCTGTCACGAGGATCATCATATCCGCAGTAGTGTCGAGCACCCCGTACTGCACTGCCTTCGCTAGCCTGGAGACTGTGATATCCGACTGCATGTATAACTTATTGGGTCCGCTCGGCTTTTTCACGTCATACTCGTACATTGTCTGTGAAACTGGATCGCCCTAGCGTATAGAAAAGAAGTCGCATAATTGAGGCGAAATTTAATTTTCAATAAAAAGTATACAGATAATAAAAATATCGGTTTTTATTGTGAAACTTACATTTTTCCCCAGGAACACTTGAGTCAGAACAAACTGGATGTACGGGTCATGTGTGTCATCATACCTCAGGTTTATCTTTAAAAAAAATGAAAGACGTTTACAATTCCCTGTAATGCCGAATTAGAACTCAGTTCTTGTGGAGGAGGAGGGCGGATATGGAGAGGAGGGTATACCCATCCTCCTCCTCCGTACCACCTCCTGATCCGCTCCTTCTCCTCCCCCTCTCTTTCCCCCTCCTCCGTCATTCTCCCCCTCCTTCTCTCATTCTCCTCCCTTCGTCACTCGCGAAGAGGAAGGAAGGACTCGTGACGGCACTCGTGACCCTAGTGACCTTCACTGTAAAGGTCGTGACCTTCGCGATGTCACTTGTGACCCTCGTGACGTCACACGTGAAGTTACGTGTGACGTCATTATGGGTAAAATTTCATAATGCTACGCGCGGTTACGCCGATGGCGACGACGACGGCCCTGATGAAATGCTTATTTGGTTTGGAATGCTTTATGGTAATTGTAACAGCTGAGTAACTACATTGTAGAAAGTGATGCCTTCTGTCATATTATGCCTATGATATTGCACATTCACGAACAATAATCCTGAGTGAGAAATTATGTACTTCGTAATAATAATTACAGTTCAAAAGCAACGTCTTTTTCATTCTTTCGTCGATTCAAGTGAACAAGAAAGCCTACAATACTAGGGTATTTACTCTAGAAATGAACGCACCCTTCGTGAGCGAATTCCGTGCGTCTACCTTTCTGAAGAGCGTACATCCAGCGAACCATCGCGTTCTACGAAAGAAACGTATCCAGCTCGCTGCTCGCACTCTCGCGGCGGAAACGGGAAAAGCTCTTGTAGTGGTCCACCGGTTTTCCTGCTCAGCGGGCAAGGTGAAAGTGTTCGCAGTCAGGGCTCACCAACAGTCACTTACGAATGCGAACAACACTATTCACTGTCCGAGTGTAGTGCTGCAGTAGGTATGAAATTGAGCGTTAAGCCGGTGTCATACAGCCTACAAAAGGCAATCAGCAAACGCGAATCACCGCGATATCCGTGGCTTGAATGCCTTGTGCCAAGTTTTCTCCTTCCCCTCATTTCCATGCAGCATTCGGAGCACTTATATCGCGATGACTCGCGTTCGAATCTGTATGCACACTCTTTTGTATGATGTATAAGCAGCTTGACCCGGGTTTATAACTGAAAAGGTTGAAACTGCCAAAATGACGGCCTTAAATATTAAAAAAAATGTGGCGTAAAACGTTTGTAATAAAAAAAAAAAATCCGTTTTTTTTTTTTTTTTTTTATTTTACGCGCTTTTTGCCCAGAAGGACTGGAGGCGAAATCGGAAGTTTCACCGGCTGCAGTAAAGGAAGTGCCATTTTACCCTTTTTGCAGGCTCTAAAGCAGTCAATATATTGGTTTATGGCAGTCACTGAACGCCTTTTTTAGCAGATGCCATGAACTGTTATAACATCTCTCGTAAAATAAAAAGGGATTACATCGCTAAATGAGTTCAACTATGGTAACATCGAAGGTCCCTCTTTGATAGTGGAACATTCTACTTATTTTATTTGGTAACAGCAGTATATAAAGCAGAAAAGAAACGCAAAGCCTTATTTTTGGAATAGAGATCGAAAAGGGAACTATGGCGCAACACATTGGTTCAGACAAGGCTTTCTCCCTCCCTCTTTTACACGCGGAAGTTAATTTATGTTGTAAAATCTCAGTAAAATGGCAACAAAAGCAAGCACATCCGCTAACACGCCGGTGACCGGCGCCTGGCGTTCCCGTTCAAACGCATTCGAAGAGTGAGTAGAGGGGCGAAGGCTTTTTTTCTGCCCTCTAGTCAATATGAAACAGGAACAGCGCGAAAATAAACGAGGGACGAGTAGAAGGGTAACGACAGACACAGCGTTACCAATCTACTCGTCCCTCGTTTATTTTCGCGCTGTTCCTGTTTCATAATGTCAAACCAACCCACCCAACTTTATGCGTTGTTGCACCTCAAGTTCTTTTCAACAAAGCGCAATCTTCCGGTGTATCCCTCTCTTCCTCGGGTTGAACCCTAACTGACAGCTTAAACAATGCAGGGCGCGGCTCCTTATATTTCGATTTCCTGCTTTCTGATTGGTTCTTCAGTATTGTGATTGGCCGTTGCCGCAATCTCAGTGGCCGCGGATCGAAAAAATGAGACCCTAAACAAGCCACACCTTATGTGCCCTTAAGCTGTCAGCAATGTTACTAGATTACCTCAGTTGTGGAACTCCCGAGGAACGTACCCCTTTTACTCCCTTCAGTCCGCCTCCTGTAATTTGAAGCGCCATCTAGATTTCCCTTCAAAACTGCGTGTCCCATAGAGCACGGTGGGATGCCAGCTAGACGCTGTGCTTCAAGATGTGCGCGATCCATACAATACATTGCAGTTACCGCAGCAGTCGTCCGGCGCGTTGAATGACGGGGGGCGAGCCGTGAAAAGGGGGGGGGGGGGGGGGGGGGGGGGGGCGTTGTGGTTGTGAAAGAAGCGTCTACGGGCAAATCCGTAAAGAAGCTCATCTAATAATGTTGGCTGTCAGTGACTCTACAGCGGTAATCGAATCAATTGATTCGTCTCGTTCCTTAAAGGCCCCAAGAGATTCACGCCGTAATTTGGTAGATTAGGGAACACTTCAACCCCAATGTGCCTTTAAACTCATAAACATTTGTACTGTGTATTTCTTGACTAGTCTACAAAAAAAAAAACGTTTTTCTTCCTGGACGCCTTTATTATCTTACGAACCTTTAATTTTAGTTCAGCCGCGTCAGCGAAGAAGGAGGGTTATGCAGAAAAGTATACCTTACCAAAGTCAGTATCATAGCCAGGTACGGTACGATGTGGCTATCGTTCTTGAACTCCTTGTATAAAAACTTATCAATCAGGATGGCAACTTCGACGGTAAAATTTACAGGAACTCTGGTGTACTCTAGCAAGGTCACAGAAAAAAATCACGCGTCAGTTGTTCATTCGGGTTGAATTTGCGGGCAACAATGGCGTAACGTGGCCGCTTACCAAAATAAAAGCGGTTTCGTAGTCAGACGTACCTTTTCCGCTGAAAAATTACTACTGGCGGCTTTTGTTAAAAATGCGTTTATTTAGGTTATTAGATTCACTGGCGGCTCCAGTAATTCAGGGCATGGCTTATCGTGTTTACTCGCCTCGCGTCGTCATTTGTCCTTTGGCTTTCTTAATGGCAAAGACCAGAATCGCATTGGCACTGGAGCGAAATAAGATTCTGGGGACTCTCCATTCACTGCGTTATTTGTGAGTTATCACTGGCCGCAAGCGATTTTGGGCAGTTTCCGTTTTCGCGGGTGCTTTATGTGCCTCGTCAAATTCCATCTCGGCCAAACCATTCGATAACGTAATCTATAGTATCTCTTGAGATTAATAATGATATAATTCGGAGGCTTTCTGTTGCAGGTGACTTACGACGTAACGAATTCAAATACTACGAAGGTTTCGCAGAGTGCAGATCCTCTTTCGAAGCCCACCGTGAGCGGCAGCGAAAGGAGCCTGCCGTGTTCCCCTGGTCACTGTCACGGTAAGAACTGTAAGGCCTCTCTCTCAAACTCCCGGACTCCAGCGCGCGCTTGTTTCGTTCAGTCATGCCACGGCTGAGCGTACACACTACAAGCTCACAAAACGCCAAAGCAATAAAAAAAAGAAACTGAAAGCACACCTAAGCATTATAAAAAAAAACTTGGAGAGTGGAAAGCGACAGCTAAACATATAAACTCCCGCTCGCACCCAAGGCTTACAAGCGTCTTTACGCGGCTTAATCAGTGGCGTGTCTGGCATGGGCAGACTTACCAGCAGGCAGAGTAGGCAGCTGCTTAGGGCGGCAGTATTTTGGGGAGTCCAATTGGTGGCGGCCCCCAAATCACTTAGAATTATTTTTTTTTATAAAACTCTAAATTTAGCTACATCGGGAATTCTAGATTCAAATCTAGATAGTTTTGATAATCTTAACTCGAAACTGTCGAAACCAGCCTTGCGTTCCTGTACGGAGGACGACCAACTGAACAACGAGACGGTTGTTGTGCGATTCCAGCCCTTTTTGCACGCTCTACCTGTTTGACCTGGAGTCGTAGAAGTGCTTCTCTCGGGCCTCGCTTCAAGTGCATGAAAACAGACGTTACCGTCAAAAGAGTTCTTCCTGTCGTAGGTGTGTCTTGTTTTATCTGCGTTTCCTCGGCGGATCATCTCTATCATGTACTAGATTTACCAACTGACCCAATTTGCTACGTTACAACTTTAGGTTATGTACTTACTGTTACGGTAAACCACTGTACGTTCTTGCACTTTCAAACTGGGGGGAACTGCAAAGTTCAAAAGAGTGTTAGACAATAACTATATTAACGCAACAAAGCTGTTCACCGTAAGCCTGGTTCCGAAATTACCGAAAGAGACGAGTTGAAAGAAATAAAGATGCTATAAAGGATAACTGAGGCATACTTCAAGGTTCCACGTAGAGCGGTAGTACCGTGATCTTTTTTTTTTCGATAGTCTTAAAAACACGGATAAACAACATACTCTACTCATGCACATATCGCATTCAGCTCTATTCATTTACCGCAGAAGACGCACAAACCGTGGTTATACAGTTTCCAACCGATTGATATTTTAATAAATATTTTCTTTATTTTGTGTACTAATTACAAGCTACCAACCCTCTGTCTGTAGCAGTAACTAGGCGGTGACAACGTACATCAGCTCTTACAAATCGATGTGCGATTTTAGCGTTTAAAATAAATATTTGACGTAAAGGCATTCACCTATGGAATTACCAACATCCTAATAAATGTAGGCCGTGGCCAATAATGCTCGGTTGCTTTGCGATTCGTGTTGCGGCGTTTTTATCAGAAAATTTCAGCAATATTATTTATTGCAATCCAGGAAGGTGACTGGAACCACCTTGCTACCTGTCACGTTATTGTTAAAAACGTCTTAGTTTGTCTCGTCACGTAACCAATGGTTATTATGTATTCGTCTACGTTTTGTTACGTTTTCCTGTACGTGTACGCACTTCTCCTTTGTAATGCTTGCGCCCTGAGGGTAAAATAAATATATAAATATTACGCTCGTGGATCGCCTCGCCTTCCGTCTTCTTGGCCGCCCTCGGCAGCCAAGAAGAATGCGGCATCGGTTGATAAGAATGACGATGGGACCAATCGGGAATTGTGAACATCACAAGTCATGCTCCGCGTTTTGTTTTTTAAGCTGTCGGGGATTACTGTTGACCATAGATGTGTCATTCTCAATAGGTATATGTAACAAAAATGTTCCCATGAAGGCAGCTGCGCTCGTTAAAGCTCACAGTCTGCGTCATTTTATATCAAGTGATCAAAACTTCTACCGATGCCGGGAATAAAGGTCACACAAAATGGTTTATTTCTTTGGCTAATACTCAACACAATTTCAATATCACAACTACTTTTTTTTTGTCTCTGATGCTCACTTATTGGCTGTTACAAGGGTGTCTCAGTGATGATCTTCATTACAGCGTTAAATAATGTAAGGTTTGTACATAATAAGTGAGTCTTAACACAACTCACAATCGCTGGAATCACGTGTGACACTCGGAGATATTCACAAAAGAAAATGCATTAGAAGTATTCTAGTAATTAAGTTTCGTGAGTCCACAAACTACTTATTTCGACGGGGTTACCCTGAACAAGAGAAATGCTACGTGGCTCTTGGAATTGATAGCGAAAATTTCGTTCTTAAGAAGCAGCGTCTTTGTATTTATTACGCTGTTTCACAATTCATATACGCTTAAAAAAAATGTGCAATTTTATATACGTTTCAAAATGATGCCAAGGACTAAATAATTGGAACGGTGCCATTTAATGCTTCTTGTTTTCCCCAGTTAAACCAGCAGTTATGATATATAGAAAATCAGGATAAATATCTTCACGGTAAATCTAAAAAAAAAAATCATTTCTATTTTTTTTTGACCAGTGTCCTAAAATTTAAGAATTCACTCATTTTCTTTGCAATATGCTAGCAACTCGAAATCGAATGCTTTTTATTGCGCTTTGTTAGTTGTAATAGATCCTAACCTAACCAAATAAAATATTTTGCGTGAAGCATTTTACAGAGTAACTTTGGTTCCCAATTCGGTGTATTAATCACCCTAGCCTTCTGATACACTCATGTTGAGTGTCAAGTAGAGGAGCATATAATTTGGAAAAATATTTAAGCAAAAATAGTGTGTGCACTTGCGAAATACGAGCACTTGATTATTCAAGCAAACAAAAAACGTGGATTTGTTCCTGTCTAACACTCTACACACAATATTTTGAAATTCTAATATAAATTTACTGACCGAGCACCATATCTCAAAGTTTAGAAACGCAGTATTCGATGTCATTTTGTGTCCAGCTTTATTGTGAAATGTTTCTTGTGCCAGCCACTACTTTTGAAATAAATAACATCGATGCTTTCAAATCTGACGCGGAACCCTTCCCAACAATTTAGCAGATAATTGATCAAAAGTTACCATGAAATGTAAACAAAAATCGTGCGTTCTCACCAATATAATCGCTCCTAAAATCACCATGCTGCTCGATTTCGAATATTTCGTGGGCCATCTGCCCATCTTCGGAACGAGCTTTGAGTGGCGAAGGGGCGATCCTCAGCTTGGGGCTCAGTGCTCCTCTCTACATAAAAAATTAAGTTCCAGTGAAAACTTTAAAAAAATGTTGTCGTGCCTTTCTTTTTGGAAGTTGCGATATTTTAGTATATGTCATCCTTGTGCACTCGTGTAGAATGATATAGATTTATTTGTAATTTCTAATAATCAATTGCTTAATTAGTAAATCTCAGTCATGATAATTAAATAGCAGCAGCAACCACTTTACAAACCCTCAGCTGGTAGCCCCAACATCAGAGCAAATCACGGCATCAAATTTTTGGGAATAGCATGCGAAGTGTCACGGTATCCGATTTTTGACAGCAGGACCTGCAGTTACTAAAGACAACTTAGCAATTTTCTGGACGCATAGAAACCTTATTCAAACCTCGTAGACCACTCACAACCCTCAAGAAAAAAGGCCGATTTTCATCAAACATCTTTAAATTCATTATAAACCGCACTTTTTTCTTTCTTTGTCCGTCGTACACCATCGTGTCAACGAAACATTTCCGCACAATGTTACGTCGATTCAATCACCGTTACCACAAAGTCCGAACCAGACAAAGAACGCATCGCGAAAACAATGTTATGGACCTCGGTTGTCTTAACCGCGAGTTATTAATTATTTTTCGGCTGCGCCGTTTAAGATGACAGTTGATTCTTTCAGGGTACGTTCCTGGCTCGGTTCTGGCATATCGCTAGCGATAACGCTCTTAAGGTAACGACATCTTAAGTCATTGAAACATTTGCTATGGCGGGGATTTGGGCAACACCACCTTGAATAATCTAAACCTGCAGGGATATTCTCTCCTACTTTACGTGATGCAATTTCAGAGTCGGACGCAGAGCGTCTTTCGACGTAATGTATGGTCACGAAAGGCAACCGAAAGATGACGCAGCACTTCGGCCCTAAACTCGTGAATCACAAAGTTTGAGCCGAAAGGTCGCGGATCTCACCGACTGGACGTCGACGAAGAACGCGCGAAATCATCGTCGTGATAGGCAAATCGGTGCGCTCCGTCAACTTTGGCCCCAACTTTGTGTTTGACAAGTTTAGCAACCCTGACGTGCGGTTTGTGGCAGCTCTTTATCTAACTTTGGTGGCGTCCAAGTGCTTGTGCACACGGCTTTTGATTATTCATGGCGAGGCTGCTCCGCCACAGCCTCAGAGAGACATCGCAGACTCAAAAGACGATAAGACGTAATCTAGCCAGACTTGCGCCTATCTTAAATACTCGACTCAAGATACTGCATTTTAAATACTTTTGGTAGTGTATCGGCACCTTGCAAAAATATTTGAAGTACAGTATTTACTACTCTATCTTAATTACATTTCTCACTATCTTGTACCCAGTATCTCAAATACATTTTACTACGGAGCCTTCATGTGCGCTTTGCTAGGGTGATGCCACCCTTTGTAATATCACTCGCTGACAAACCAGCAGCCATTTTGGTTTTCGGCGATAATCCGTGGGGCTTATAGCCCTCCCGGAAACAAGCACCTTATCTCACAAGTTCGGAGCAGCATTGTGGAACCCACGGAGGGAGGATTAGCATTTTCCCCCTCGGATGGGAGTACCGATGGACACAAAGGCCACTTTCCGGCACACGGGGAAACAATGAGAGGAACAAAATGGTGGTGGAAGAGGGTGTGGGAAAGGGAAACAAGCAGTTGGCATCAGTCTATGCGAAGCGCACCATGAAGGCACCCTACATTTTACAACCTTCGAAAATATTTGTCGCCAGAACAATCTACCAACAAAAGACCAAAGGGATGGCCCCACACACGCCCCTTTTTGTGTGCAACTGTCCGCTCTTCTTTTTTTTTTCATGTTGTCTTTGGGAATGACACAAGTTTGGAGCTAGCAAAATGCTGGTGACGTCATCGTGGCTTTACACCTCTTGACTGAAGCTAGAGTGGTTCTATCTGCTACGCGATCGCAGTTCCGACTTGCGAATTATATCTTGCTGCTGCGAGTAGTAGCCGCCACAAATCCGTTCTAGGACTGCAAGAGGTAGCGATTCATGGCAGACATGACAAATACGGCCAAAGGGGGTGGGGGGGGGGGGGGGGGCGGGGTGTTTATAAGCTTTGGGATTCGTGGTGCTGTAAGTGGAGGGCGCGGCCCCCTGCTCGGCCGCTTTTGTAGTGAGAATAGAACAAACAAAGGAAGCGAGCGAGCAGTCGGATCTGAGGGGCACGTCCCTCAGATCCGACCGCTCTGTTCTGGGGCACGCCCCAAGAACAGAGCCCTGGGGGCGTGCCCCAGGGCTCTGTTCTATTACCCCTTCTCTTCCTTATATATATAAACGATCTCCCTGTTAGCATTTCTTCATCGATTCGACTCTTCGTAGACGATTGTGTATTGTATTAAAAGATAGTACATATAGACGACACCTCGACAGTTCAAACCGATCTGAGCTCTATTGCTTCGTGGTGCGACAAGTGGCAAATGCGAATTAACATAGGTAAAACCAAATATATGACCGTGACAACAAAGAAAACATCAATTAATTGCAGCTACTCTATCAACGGTGTCCCTCTGGAAAAGGTAAATAAATATAAGTATCTGGGTGTTTTTATTTCCGATAGTCTTAATTGGTATGACCATATTAACTACTTAGTTGGGAAAGCAAATCGTTCTTTAGGATTCATCAGGCGGAAGTTGTTTTTAGCTCCTCCCGAAACTCGTTTGCTAGCTTTTAAGTCCGTTGTCAGATCGCAGCTCGAATACGCCAGCATCATATGGTCTCCCCACCAGGACTACCTGATTGACCAAATTGAAAGAATTCAAAACAAAGCCGCGCGCTTCATATTTAGTGACTATTCTTCTTACACGAGCGTTTCGGCACTGAAACAAAGGGCTAATTTACCTTTATTAAAAGTCAGGCGCCAAGTCTCCCGTCTTACCTTCATTCACAATATTTATTACTATAATGTTAGCCTTAAGGAACTCTTATTACCTCCCCCTCATTGCATCTTTCCCAGACATGATCACCCTCACAAAATTCGTTTATCAAATTGTCGCACTAACCAGTTTCGCAACTCGCCATTACAGCTTGCCATTGCAGAATGGAACTCTTTGCCCCACCACGTTGTAGATATCATAGATAAGAATGAATTCAAATCATCATGTGAACGTTTGTTTCACTTTTCCATGGAATGAATCGCGGGATGGTGTCTTTCTTGTTTTCCATGTGCAAAGATGGTCTTTTCTCTCTCTTTTTGTAGCCTGGTTGGCACGTTGTTTCCTGTTTGTGTAAGAGTGTATTCCTTTCGAGTGGGTGTATTGCATTGTTTCTTCTTTATTAAGCAAATATGTACGATATGTATCGTTTCAATATTTTTGTCGAAACCCTTGTATCATACAATGCCCGAAAGGGCGCTTTGAGGTAAATTAAATAAAAAAAAATAAAAGGGATTTCCATGGCGTTTCATTTTCGGTGAATTGTAAGAATGAGCGGAGTAAGACCGATCGCAAAACATGACACGATTATTTTTATTTTCTCTCGATGACTTTGGCCCTTTACTCATATCGACCCCTTTCCTCGTCATTTATATTCAATTACAAACAAAACATATTGCTTAAAAACAAGCATTTATTAGCACTTTATTCGATAAAAAAATAATACCCTATTTAGAATGCGACGTTAATAAAAACAATTGCAAAGAATTGCTTTACAAACTTTAGTTTACCGAAAGTCTTCGAGTCTGAAAAAATTCTAGTGGCGTTGGATTAGCTCTCGTAACACTGTAATCTGCAGCGGGTTGCTAACGTTGTACAAAAGCTTGAAATTGTCGTTCTCCTACGGTACAAATAGCGAAGGTCGCAGTGGATTGCGGAGAGCGTAGCGTGAGTGACTGGACGTTTTAGTAAAACATTTCAATATCTCTGATCTTACAAAAATTGCTAATTGTTCAAGTCGAAGAAAGGTGTCAAGGCAACGAATGTTGTCTGGTAGGTATAAAAAAACATAACTAGAATTTTTAACCGATTTATCAGACAGACATTTATGTGCACCTTATTTTTATCCACAAATTTATGTTTACATTCCAATATCACGACATTCATTCTGAGAATTCTACCCAAGAGTTATTTCTAGGATTCTGTGTTTTCCACAACTACCGATAAACTCCGAAAATTAAACCCAGAATCGGTTTTATCGAAATCCCAGAAAGCAGAAAAACCCTGTATTTGAGCTGTATGTTAGTAAGAACAATTAATGACTCATGGAAAGATATTCGAATCTCCGAGTGCTCGTTCTTATAAAAACCGGATCCCTTATCTTTTTTTTTTCTTTTTTTTTATCTATATCGGTTTGTATTTCTAGAATTCATTACGCGCACTTTTTTATGTTGGAGACTATTTTACGGTGTACGTTCTTTTTTTCAAAAAAAAAAATCCACGACGATCGTCGACGTTTAGTCGCACACCCAAATCCGACATAAAAATTCAGTGATATTGTAGTAAAAATGAAGTCCGAAACGACAACCCCGAATTCAAAACAAATTAAACCCCGAAAACACACGACTTTATAGTTTTACGTAAATATCTGCCAAATTCATATTAAATTACGATTTAATGGGGGAAACGGTCCCAAGCTAAGACATAAAGACATACCACTTCTAACGTTCCGTCCTGTTCTTCGACCGATACTGCAGCCGCCTGGCTTCGGTCTCGGTACACGTTTTTTTCCAGGTTCTTCCCGTTCATCTGCAAAATACATTAGTTAGAGACAAACCTGTCAGATTATCAATCAATTAAACATTTTCATATATTCATGAAACATCAACATCACTGCTAATGACGCATCCATACGTATCCATAGTGTGTTTAGCTATAGACAGACACGATTTCCTTTTCTTCAAAAAAATGAACCAAATCGAATATCATAGTGTGTGTGTGTGGGGGGGGGGGGGGGGGGGCAGCCCCATTTTGAGTGATGTGTCTGGAGGACCAGCTTGTCTCCCCTTGGTTTCTCTCTTCAGAGACCCCAGCCGGTCCGTCCGTAATTGTCAAGCTTTCAAGAATTTAGAATCTCCGAAGGTCGCAGCGAGTGATCGACACAAAAAGACGGTTCGCCGCAGAGCTTGCTGCTGAGTGTAGCAACGAGGGGGAGGGACAAGTTTTCTTGACTTCCGCGTGTCCCCCAGTGGCGTGTTACTGTAGTTCCCGTAACCGCCACACGTAGTTGCAGATCAACAAATAACTCAACGAGGTAGAGGGGATTAGAGCGATAAACCGGGGTTCCGGTCTGCACTCGAAAGTGACCCCCATAAGGCGGCTGCCATTGTACGCAAAGTTGACCGCTCGTTACATGACCGAACCAAATGCGTGACGTCACAGGAAAGATGGCAGCGCCCATGCAGCGGCTGGCCCCAGCTGGGACGGAGTTTGTTGGATGCTTTGTTGGTTGTCGTTCGTCTCGGCGAGTTGATTTCAGACGCAGAAGCCGTCATATGAGGCCGGTCGACAGCGACTTTAGAGTTCAGCGTGGTGTCTGACGTAGGTACAAGGTGAAAATACGGAGGAATGGTGTGCATTTCGCTGGTGACCGACGGCGCTATTGCCACTGAAGAGACAACCTGCCCTACGTTGCTCGCACCTCGGATTGATTCGGATACCGCGAGGATAAAATTTAAGGCGACGTTTCTGTGCTCTCGTTGACCGTCAGAACCTTCGAGATCTGCAGTAAAGCGTGTGCAATATATTTGGATACACAGTTTAGCGACGGAAATTGCGTGAGTCGTGCTTGGCAGTGTGCAATCGTGGTGTCGCTTCGTTCAAATGCCCGAAGGCTCACCTTGGTTGTGCGGTGCACCGGAGAGCTGCCTTGCCGCTTGTAGTTTCCGTGCCGTGCTAAATGATACTGTGCTGCCTCCCAAATTGTTCCGGCGTAGACGTGAACTTTCATGGAGCACAGGTGTGCGGCGCGCCGAAGAGCTGCCTTCAAGCTGGTAGTTCCTGTGCCGTGCTTTAGGTGATACTGTGCTGCCTACTAAATTGTTCTGGCGTAGACGTGCACCTTCACGGAGCACAGGTGTCGCAGTTGGTATTGATTCCGCTGGTCTGTCGCACGTTTCGTCGACACCAAAGTTTCATCAACACTCGTTACGCGAATTGCAAGCTGTATGGACATTTCATCGCGCGTGTTACCTGCTCAGTCCACCCATTCACGCCGCTTTGCGACGGCAGTCTGCAGCGGCTCATTACCAGAAAAGTGGTCTCACATCGATTTCAGTTCAGCTCGTCCACGGCAGTCGCCAGACCCCGAAGGAGAGGATTTATTCGGACAGAATGCCGCTAAAGCAGTGCAGTTTCTTTAGTGGCCAGGATAGACTCTCTTTTGTCTGTTTTATTATATTGTCTCGGATGCTTGCTCCAGTCCTATTTTCTATCAATATTTACTATTCTGGAAAGTTCCAGGCCATGCTCAGCTATCATTGTATGTTCTGGTGGAGGTGCTGCGCACATTACCCATAGCCCTTCACTCTGTGTGGACCCTAGCGGCTCCTCAGCCGAGTTGCCCGATAACAAGACACGGGTGGCACATTATCCCGACTCTTAAACCCACGGCGAGCCATGAACCAAGTCCTGTCCCGAGCCCGGCAGCAAAATTGCAAGACGAGCGAGTACCACAAGGGCGAAACTCGGAAATACACCACGAAGAACTTGAAATCCAAGTCAGTCGCTGCTATCAGCTAGAACCACCGGAATTAGGTCTTTTGCCAGAAAAACCGAAGCTGACCAAGCCAACAATGACAACCCTGTAACAGCAAACCACGTCCGCTCCCACCATCGTTTGCATGCCCGTCGCACCTCGCACTCCGATGCCCTTTCACGCAAGGTGCACAAGACGTCGAGGGCTGGATTGAACAATATGACCCTGTCGCCCGCCACTGTGGGTAGATGGACAACCAGCTCCTGCAGAACCTATACTTCTCGTGGAAGAAACTGCGAGGCACTAGTTTGAGAACCACGAATCCTCCTTAACGTCGTGGGAAGTTTGCAAGGTCAAGCTGAAGTGCATGTTCATCAGCCAACATTGACAAGAGAGAGCTGAATTCCTGATTCTGTCCAGGACACTGCCCCAACAAGAGCGTCACCACCTTCGTGGAGGATGTTTTCCTTCTGATCGAGCACCCACGCCAACCCTGATGCTACAGAAGACAAGAAGCTAAGAATCTTATGTTCCTCATGTGAGGGACAACACCTTGAGCAGCCTTGCCCACAACCCCACGACAAAAGTCGAAGGGTTCATATCAATGAAGCTTCCAACATTGAATGTACACTGCAGGCCCGAGCATGTCACTATTAAAAATAGTGACATGTTGCAGCTGGACGACACTCGAGTCGTCCAGCTGCAACTTCGACGCCAGCCCCCCAGGCATCCGTGACATCATTCACAACGGTGACCGGGAGGAGATAAGGAAGCTAGTTCCTGCCATCAGTTGCCCGGCTTTAATTTTGATTGCCGAGATTTTAAGAGGTTCGACAGGCATTTCAACTGGAGACTTCTTCGAGTGAAACGGCATCTGACGAAACGAGGGCGACTTATGCGACAAAGTCACAACGGCCACCACCGGCTACCTGTTACTATTCAATGCCAATTCAACGAAACACCCCAATGCCGAAGCATTCTCGACATCGGGAAAAACCAGTGTAGGTCCGAGCTGAACAAAGTACACCGAGGAAAACGGGAGGTACTGCCAATGGCCGACCGAAAACCACTCTGCTACCACAGCATGAGGCCGACCATGTCTACTGGAGGTGCCCGTACAAATGAATTGGCCTGCAAGGGTTCGTGCCGAACGACCCTCGACCACGTCTCGACGAGAGTCCGGAGAAGATTGAGGATTATCTTGGGCGGTCTTTGTCCCTGGTGCCGACATTACCCCGAAGCTCGTGATCTACTTCATCTGGACGGGAAGTAAGCACGACAAAACAGGTGAGCGGCAATGCAAGGAGAGTTGATTTGGTGTCGGTTGTCGTCCAAGGGCAATACCTAATAATTTGCTGACACTAATTATCTGTGTCCACGCCACGAAGCACACAATTTCCAACTTTGAGGGAGAATGCCGCTCTGTGACCTTAAGAAATAAAATGGTTGGTTGCTCTCAAAAGTGAGCTGCAAGCATCACGAGACTTCACTTTGCCACACAAGACTTGCACAAGTTGCAGTGGTCGTGGGATGCACAATAAATCTCCATTACGAAATGGAAGTGAAATGGCTTGGATAGCAAACAAACATTGTTGCCAGCTATCAAGTCAACGGTACAGCAAAAGGCACAGCCACATAACCAATACATGCCCGAGCTTGCTCCATTGATGCAGAAAACTACCAGGAAACTTTTGCGGATTAGAAGCCAGCCCTGCAACTTCGGTGCATCAGATGTCAGTGGGCACACATGACGTATGATCACAAGACGGCATCAGTCGGTCAAAGTTGCTACTCGACCAAACTGAACACCGACGTGCCAGGAGCGTCATCCCACAACAAGGTCCACAGGTATAACGACTGAACGCCTGACAGGAGACTGTCCCAGAAAGAACTCGTTCTGGAACCAATAACTAAGAATCAATAATTATGTAATCCAGTGGAAATAAACATATTTGATACACTAACGAGATAAACCTATTTCCGCTTGCCTTTACGCCTTGAGAGTTTAAACACCAAGAATTGTATTCACCACAAGCGCAAGTCCTTTTGAGGATACTCGCATCTCTGACCCTTCAGTATTAATAATGGGACATACCAGACTGGCAGACTTGTTGCATTGGGCTGCACTCATTCCCCTTTTCCTAAACACACCTCTGAGCATATATTTTAATCGTATTTGTTGATGCATTGTTATATAGCAGGACACTTCCTATACGTAGACCCTTTGCAGAACCCCATCAAGCAACACAACTGTTACCATTTTTTTCGGCGTAAAGCACGCAAATGGGCCTCAGTTCACGTCGAATGCTAATGCAGCATTCGAGTCCAATAGACGCTGAGCCGAGTTCACAGTGATGGCGGACGTAACATTCTTGTCGAACAAATGATCAAAGTATGAAAGCGTGGGGTAATTAGAGTAGTAACTACTGTAATTTGTTTCGTCACAATTTGGCAAACACCAAAGGCTACAGTCTCGGTGAGCCAATATGCACGTTGGAGAGAGGCACATGACAACATGTCATTCAGAGTGCTCGTCTGCACAGATTTGTCACACACCTTCGCTCTATCTTTCTGATTGGCTCGAGGGGGCTGTGGCGGTTGTCCTTTTCCAGGTTACAATGATACGAAGTATAGGCAACCCACACTTTAAAAAAAAAAGGCTACTGAAGAGACCGAAAGGAATGGTCAACATTTTTCAACAAGACTGCTCTTCAGGCAAGGGATGAACACAAATATGAATCATCTTATTCAGGTAATTAGAACCAGTAAATAATTGAATGACTAATACAATGCACTCCTGATGAAAAAAAGTATTGCTGCAATAAATTCTACGAAAGAGAAAAAGGTGCAGTTAATCTATGCATACACGAAAACACTTGTTCTTATTGCAAGTCGAATAGCTTTGAAGCAGATGCCTGCAACGATTTATTCATCCCCACACTCAATAAAATGTCATCCTCGTAGCTGTAAGTAAGTGCGCACTTCGCACTCCCCAAAAGAGGAAGAAAGGCGATTGAATGTAGAATCGTCGATTAGCACAAAGGGTTAAAGATCGCAGGAGCTTCCTCGCTAAAAGTTGCTATGGTTATTCGGTGACGCAGGCCTGAAACAACTTCTCCTAGGCCTTAACGCAACGTATACCTTTCGCGTCGATTCACAGACATTTCAACGCTCAAACAAAGCTAAGGGAACGCGAAAATTTCGTGCTAAAAGCACTCAAAGTTCTATCGATCCTCGAACACATCCCGGAATCCGAGCACCGGTACGGCGATACGGCTGATGCTGTCTCACAGGTGTTAATATCCAGATGATCCAGAGCGATCTTGCGCAAAAAGGGTATAAAGTCTCATTCCTTCATATTTTCACAATATACCTGCGTCAGCGAGCACGAAAAAGCCCGAAATCGTCGGAAAGCCGCTGCACATAACGGCTGCCGCGCACCGAACAAACTCGCATCCGCCAGCTCTGGGCGCTGCCATCTTACCTGCGACGTCATGGCTCTTGTGAGGTCAAGTGACGAGTGGTCACATTTGCGTAAAACATGGCGGCAACCGGGGGGTGCCACTTCCGAACTTCCGGTTTATCACTCTAAGCCCCTCTACTTCCTTGAAATAACTATTTTTTTTATATAAAGGCATGAAATCCTATTTTGCCGTTGCCCCCAATCCCAAATTTTTTTTCCGACCATCGATCCGCCGTGCATTTCTCGCAAAATTTAGCGACGGAATTGACATCAGCACGCCTATACACGAATCCAGCTTATCAGCTAAATTTAGCGGAAAATTGACGTCACGTGACCTATACATCAGCTCAGTTTCCCCACTACACTTAACTCGAAAATTGACGTCTTGTAGCCCAAGCCTAATTAAGTTTCCCCTCTAAATTTACAGAGAAACTGACATCCCGTGACCTCTATACCAATTCAGTTATCCGCTAGATTTAGAGGGAAGATTCACGTCTTCTGACCTAGACACCAATTCAGTCTCCCATCTAAATTTAGCGGGGGAAATCGACGTCACGTTACCTGACGTCGCGTGACCTATACCATCATCGTTTTCCCACTAAATTTAGCGGAAAAATATGCGCCTCGTGACACGCCAATTCGCTATAACGCATTTCATTCATTATAAGACTTTAAAGACAAAGGTTGCTACCAATTTGTTTTTTTTTTGCGCTTTTACAACGAAATAGTAATTTTCCGGGAAAAATATTTTTTTAAACTTTTGTTTAGACAAACAATAAAATAGAAACAGCAAATTATTTCACCGTTAAAATTGTTGCACTACCCCTTTAAGAAACAAAGGAAGTGGCGAGTTCCATGTCTCGTATCATTGCTTCCAGCCAGGAATATTGTCGAGGACGGAAAGAGTTTCGACAAGCCTACACTGAAAATCAAGCTTTAATCGTCAAACTTGTCCCAGAAATAAACGAACAGTCAAAATGGGTAGATAAAAACGAGTACACAGCGTCGCGGGCGTCGGTGTCGGTGGAAACAAAGAGGCCAGCGCTGGTGAAAGAGTGCGGGAGGGTGGGTCGGCAAGGGCCGCGCTGGGCTCCTCACCTACTATACACTCGGTATCTCCAATTGGGTCTCGATATTTGATTTGCCGCGCATTGCATCAGTCGTTATCGCTAAAATTTTTAAAATTGAAATTGTTCAACAGATCATTTCTAGCGACCCTACCCGATTGCGAAACATTATTAGATGGTAAAAGGGAATTAGGTATCAAAATATTGTGCATCATAAGTGCAGATTTAAAGGCACGTATTAGGTGAAAATCTTTACATATCTTAAAATGCTAAGCTGTGCGATCATTAAAGCTTGGATTAGCTATTGCTTTCAGTGGTCTTAAACTTTTCGGAATTCCTGCCACGGTTAATACAATACGTATGCTGTCGCGTGCATGGCCGAGTTAGCCTCTCGTACGGCTCCCGCGAGAAGGCGCGGCGTTCGAACCCGTCCATCCTAGTTCTTTGTTTTATATACTGTGAGTCTCCTAGAGCATTGGAAAAGAATGCTGTGACGTATCACTTGCTCCTGTTCAGTATTTTCTAGACCCCGTGTTCTGTATAAAACAAGCTGATACTGCGACGCCAAGCCACATTAAGAAAATATTTTTTTAAAGAAAGGTGCGTACTAAATACATCTTAACACCCTATTAATCTAAAATAGAGGAAACATAGCGACAAAACGAGTGAAACAAAATGTCCGACGTACTACAAAAGGTCCTCTTTCCAAGAGCAATATATCAGAGGAATAATCTGCTGCAGATAGTGCTCCAACTGGCAGTGAATCCTTTGTTTCTTTTTTATTATTTCTCTATGTTCTCGACTTACTTCCTTGGCTGCTGTTGTACAAAAACGACGTGCGCTATCTGTGATTTTATTGTTTTCTAATATTTTGGAACTTTTGTGTTTCCTTTTAAGGGCTGCTAATGTGAGCTTTTTGATTTTGATATATTTTTATATTTACTTTATTGGAATTTTTGTTTTTCTTATGTGTTAATGAGTTGCGTTATTTGCAAAACAATTTATTTCCGATGTTTGCATAAATTGTTGTGTTCTAATAATATATACATATATATATATATATATATATATATATATATATATATATATATATATATATAACCCACTCTCCTGCCATATACATGTAAATGCTTCGGCGCTGCTGTTTTTGTAGATATAAACTAAATACATGTGCAAAAATTATTTTGCCACAGGAAAACGTAGTCTTTTTCGTCTAGTCCTGGACTTTCGGATTTTTTCAGCGAGTGTACTCAGTTTTGGAGTAACTTGGCAAAGGGCAAACGCGGTTCTCTCCGTGAGCCAATCAGAGCGCCGCCGAAGCAAGCCACGTGTACGCTCTTCGTCAGAGGAGAGTGCCCGAACAGAGCGTCATCACGTGCCCTGACATTTAGTTTCCTGTGGGTTATAGCGTTCTTACCGTTTGCTGGGTTTTCTTTAAATAGCGTATAGAGATTGGCTCACTTCTGTTTATTCCGCCGATAGTTCTGACAAAAACAGCCCGAGCGTTAGCATGCACTTTCCCCTGCACTGAAAACATAAAATGCGTCGCGCTGGTTGCTGCCCAACACATTTTCGCAACAACCAATATGCCGCTGGACAAAGGGGAAGGGCAAGGATTTTTTTTTTTTATTGCTTCTGGGCGGGTAAGTTTGGTAGGACCTTTAAACAGGAATCATTCACTGCTTGAAAGTCTATCAGTGTATGGCATGCACACTGCAAATTATATTTATATTGTATGTTCCTTAGTGCCATTTACCCAAACAATTGAATTCGAAATCCGTACAACTCTGTCTGGATAGGCGACTATTCTTAAACAGCTACTCTATGAAAAGACTTCATATTTTGTCAGATAGCGCTTCCTAGGTGAATTTGCCTATCGTGTCAACGTGCACATCGAAGCAATTCCACAAACTATTTTGATAACTCTTAACAATGCAGAAAAATAACGCTTACCGTGGAATGAATTTGATTTCCGCCTTCGAATGTGGTGATGGTGAAGTTCTCGGCCAAGACAGAGGTCTTTTCCAAGTGAAGCGTCAGTCCATTTTGAATGTGAAGCAACTTCTCACCATTCGCTCCTCTCGCTTGTAGCAGCCGAGGATAAACAACCCGCTCCGCCGTAGGCCCTGGTGTTTAAACGCATAAGAGACTCAACTTTATGGTTCCGATTCGGACATCCTAGATAGCCGAAAGGCTAAACTATTGATGTCTGACAACCACAATATAAATAGAAACCTAAAATTTGTCAAAATAAACAAGTCGTTTTAGGAATGATATCACGACAAAAAAAAAGAGTATCGTTTATGTCCAAAATTGTATTTACGACAGCCTCACTCGGTACTAAGAACTCAAATTAAATCTTCATAAGCTGTTGCAGTTTCTCTTTTACCTCCCACTGCAACCACGCTGTCTTTTTTACTTAAGCACTTAAGCTCCTCTGCCAGTTTTTTTTTTTTTTTTTTTTGTGTTTGCGTGTGTGTGTGGGGGGGGGGGGGGGGGGGGAGGGTTAACGTATATGGCAAAGTGTTCGCGTGATTCTCCGTTCTCCCTAACCTGAAAGGGTGGTGGGAACTCAAGAACGCATGTCGTTTTTCTCTCACTGCTCTTCGCACAGTCGTTTTCAGCTAGTGTACGCGTCGGTGACGTGGACGTCTATAAAACAAATTCCCTCAAAAATCGAATGCGTACAGCATGCATTCCTTTTAATGTGTGAGCATCTTCTTTAGCTAAGAACGATTAGGCTTTGTTTGTGTAATATTACTTGGCCTTTATTAATACCAAAGAAAGCCGATTTGTTGTATTTGTAATACATTTTGCGCAGCTAATTTTTTCAGACCCCAAAGTGCCTACAAGCTTTAATTCAACTTTTCATACAGTTGACCGCTCAGTGAACACTTCTCAATATCTAGGTTATTAGAATGTTTCTATTGTAAACTCAAGCCAACAAATTCCAAAACCAAAAACTCTTCGAAATGAATATATATATATATATATATATACATTGGCCGGTAGTGATTAGACAGCGTAACGTTAGTCTCTATTTGAGGTGCGGAGGTGCAGCGACAGTGTTTACGCTCTAGATGAGAGAATTATCCGGTGCAGTACTCCACCTAGCTTTAATGTGTATCACGCAGTAATGAAACGCGACCTCACTAAAGTGCAATGCTCATCCAGATTTCAATTAGCAGAGGGAACTTTGGACTCTGCAGCGTGAGGCTCCACGTGCTCGGAGTTTTGTTGCGCTACCACACTGGCCCACTGATCTTTCCTTCCTTCGAATTGAGGCATAGATGAGATGTATCAAACTTGTCTAGTCTTTCACATACAAATTTATAATCGTTGCACATTTTGCTGTGACTCCACTCTCACGTTGTTTTAAAGTACACAACTGACATATAACAATCACTCTAAAACTCCGCCCATAGAATTAAAAATTATTTGAATGCTATAAAACTACTATAGATTTACAAGGAATGGAGGGTTATTAAGTTATAAAAAGCATATTTTGTCATTGTCGTGATGTTCACAGTGAACCATATGTCTTTGGGGTTTTTTGTTTTTTTTTCATTGGGGTACTTTGACGCTGACAATTCACACACGCGGATTATTATCTGCAATTTGAGTGTGAGTGATTGTTGTATGTATTTTATTTGTCTAGCTGCCCGTAATGTTTCTGTCCTCTGTAAGTTGTTATGTATGTGTGTGTTTTTAATAACTTGCTTGAATCTTGACACCCAGGTTTTCCTTATCCATTTTTTGGAGCTTCTAATTAATTGATTTATTATTTGTGTTCACATCAAATCAGCATAGGCGTGAAGCTCGGCAAATATCAGACATTGCTGACGACTGAGATACTCAATGAAGAAAACGGATATTTCCTCCAGACTTAAAAGCGCCTGTAAGCAGACCATGAACAAAACTGGGATTTCACACCAAATTCAATTTCACTTCTTTAGGCAAACGAGTACTCCAAATTGCTACGTCACGCATACAGAGGCCATCATCACTTCCCCGGCGAGTATAAAAACACGAAATTCTTATTTCCTTAGGCCAACAAGTTTAGGTGCGCCCTACCCAAGTACTCCGGTGTTTAGGCCAATATTGCGTCCTTCCCAGATCTTTCGCAAGTAAAACACCAGCCTGTTTGTCTTTTTTAAAGTCTGCATTTCTGAAAATATTTTTGTGCCTAATTTATTATGAAATATCTTTCAACCCAGCAGCTCCTATTCTTTACATATTTAATCAAAAAGACGAAGGGGGGGGGGGGGGGGGGGCGTCTTCGTGACGTGTGATAAACGTTTGCTTGAAGTTCAGTTTTTACCAGTGGGGAAGACGCAAAGCTTTCCCACTGGTAAACAACGTTTGAAATTCGAACAGTTTCATGCCGGTACCGGTTGAGCCATTCCGGTAACCGGTTTGAACCTTCGCTTAGTGGTATAAACGAACTGCTCACCTGTTTGATTAAACCGTTCATAGGTTTTATCAAACTGCTTTCCCGGGTGAGCTTAGTGGTATGCGGACCTATTCACACCACATAGATGTGTGGCGAATCGATATTAAACGGCTGACTTGTTTGGTTAAACTGGTAAGCAGTTTGATCAAACATTTGACTATCTTCGTTATAGCGATGCTTCGCCACATTAGGAAAATCAGCGGGCCCGCCCTTGCGGACTCTCTGTTGGTACTTGAAGCCGTCCGGATATGTCACCACCCTAATAGCACACTTCTCCCGCTTATGCGTGGGCCAGTTTGGCGCAAGCTTGGGCCAGGCTTCAGCCAATTTGGCTACAGCTCGCGACAGTCTGGCCCAAGCCTGGGCCGAGGACGTGTGCTACTTAGGAACCGCTCTGACGACCATCTTTAACCAGACTCCCGGAAAAGGGCTAAAAAGTAAGCCCTTTTCCCCTTGTTACTAATATACTCTGTTTCTTCTTACAGTTGTCCAGCTGATCCAGCGAAGTAAAGGTATCACACGACTAAACACTTCGCGCTTTGCTGTGCATTTCCCGAGGGTAATACGTGACAGTCGAACGGCTTTGGTTCGGCTCCAATGTCTTTTAGGGTCCGATGCGGTCCTTTGTAAGGTAAAACGGAGTAGAGTGTTTTATTTTTTATACACTCTCAGAAAAAATTGTATATTCTTATACCCCTGTCAGACGGCAGCTAAAATGGCATTTACGCCAAATGACATTCAGGTTTTCAAATGACATTCATGATGGGACCTGCCAGACGACAACTAAAATGACATTTAAGTGATGTCTATTACAATTGCGATCGCAAATTCGTCTCGTGCACATAGAACACGTTTTCGTCAATAAACAATTTTAACACGGCAAAACACTTGTTTTTGTGTGTGTTGTCTGCTGCGACAAGAAAATATAACAAAAAACTGGGATAGAAAGTTGCGCTCACTAGTTTCTGACGAAAAAATAAAGCGAAGCGTGGGGCGAAATCCATTAGCCAACCTAACGTCGTCATAAGCCGATCCGTAAGCCGAGCCTCCCGCGCTCCGCCACTACAGCTGACAGCTTGCTCGCACAGTTCTTTCGTTAATTTCGGTAGTGCTTGCTTGCTCTGGCTGTCCCTCACGCTCGATCTTCGGCTGCCGTGTTCACTTCTACGTCTGCGAGGGATCTTGGATGCCGTATTGCGCTTCCGCCGTCACTATCACGGCGGTATGGATTGATCTTGGTTCGAGCGTCTCCGGCTGTTGAGAAGGCCGTCCATCATCTTCGTCATAGACGCATTCCGCGAGCTTCGGTTTGAAGACAGTCTACCGTACCTACTAACGTACTGCGTCTTCAAGCAGGCGTTTGGCTGATGTCGGCGACGTGATCAGGCACCTTGTGAATGTGTGTCGGTGTTACATGGAGTGCTTGGTTCGCCAGGTGACTTGCGTGCACCTAACCACCCCAGTGACAAAGTGAGTCGGCGCTGCAAAGCTATACTCTCCTGCGGAGGACAGAACCATCGCCAACTTGCTCGTCGTGAGGCAAACCACTGCCAAGTGATCGCACCCCTCCGACGCGACTGGCCGAAGATCTTGAGCGCCGCCGCGACCGCTGAACGGTTAAACACACACGGGATAACCGAACTGCCCCAGGACTCCCTCAGGTCATAGGGAATCGCTGTAGGAATGCCACCTGGGACATCAAGTTTCAGCACCAGCGGCTACCAAAGCACAATAAAAATAGTAAGTACCCTTTTTTGCGAAAACCAAGAAAAAAATGTTTGAACTAGTAGAAATAATATCCCTACATGTTTTTTTAGCTCTTAGAAAATGCAGGCAATCTTGTTTCAAACTCACAAAATTAAAAAGATAAAAAAAATTCACTTGTCTTCCTTTTACTGAATGTCACTCAAAACTAACTGATATAGCTCCTGTCAGCATTCTAAAGTTATTCGTTAACTCGTTTTAATGTGAATAAAACAACTGGATTGATCATCTTCCCAATTGTGCATCTTTGATGAGGTGAAAATGACTGAATAACTGTTTCTAAATACGAGACAAGAGTGCCAGCTTCTAGCACTGTAAATACTATGTTTAGAAGCTATAGAATGTTTGCCATTCTGTGAAGTTTCCAAGAAATGTTCCAAGCTAGCTGTGTGGTGAAATTTTGACTGCTCTGCTTCCCCATTGAATCTACAATTTTGAGAATAATATGTCTAAGGTGTAAGATATTTTATGCCTAGAGGACTGATGCATCTGTTGCAATGTTTCTATCCAACTACAGTGATTCTTCTGGCTCTCCTAGACCACTGCTACCAGTTCCAGTATCTCAATGTTGGGATGCTGAGGCAGTTTCGTGACCATCTTCCAGAGGTTGGCACTGGCTAGCACTCGGGAAGCAGTGACGCCCCAGGCACATATGGCCACAGTCAATGGGACCGCCGTGTCCCCACGGATCCTGTGTAACCACGTGTTCCTGATAGCATCCAACATGCTCGAACCTTGCCCAACCCAGGACATCATCTTGCAGGGAACGGCACGTCGATCAGTCAATTCCGTACATGCGACGACCCTCCCAGACTTCTCAGCATCACTCCCAACTTCTTGTAGTGATGGATAAATTTCAGCCTACTACTGACTTGGAGAATTAGAGTGGATACAAGGGCTATGGTTTCA